AGACTTATAAATATGTAAGATAGATTCTTCTTTTGATTTTATCAAGAATCTCTAAATATATAGCAGAAGCACCAGACCAGATATGGCAGCAATATTCAAAGCAAGGATGAATGGTAGACTTATAAATATGTAAGATAGATTCTTCTTTGGATTTTATCAAGAATCTCTAAATATATAGCAAAAGCACCAGACCAGATATGGCAGCAATATTCAAAGCAAGGATGAATGGTAGACTTATAAATATGTAAGATAGATTCTTCTTTGGATTTTATCAAGAATCTCTAAATATATAGCAAAAGCACCAGACCAGATATGGCAGCAATATTCAAAGCAAGGATGAATGGTAGACTTATAAATATGTAAGATAGATTCTTCTTTGGATTTTATCAAGAATCTCTAAATATATAGCAAAAGCACCAGACCAGATATGGCAGCAATATTCAAAGCAAGGATGAATGGTAGACTTATAAATATGTAAGATAGATTCTTCTTTGGATTTTATCAAGAATCTCTAAATATATAGCAAAAGCACCAGACCAGATATGGCAGCAATATTCAAAGCAAGGATGAATGGTAGACTTATAAATATGTAAGATAGATTCTTCTTTGGATTTTATCAAGAATCTCTAAATATATAGCAAAAGCACCAGACCAGATATGGCAGCAATATTCAAAGCAAGGATGAATGGTAGACTTATAAATATATAAGATAGATTCTTTTTTGGATTTTATCAAGAATCTCTAAATATATAGCAAAAGCACCAGACCAGATGTGGCAGCAATATTCAAAGCAAGGATGAATGGTAGACTTATAAATATATAAGATAGATTCTTTTTTTGGATTTTATCAAGAATCTCTAAATATATAGCAAAAGCACCAGACCAGATATGGCAGCAATATTCAAAGCAAGGATGAATGGTAGACTTATAAATATGGAAGATAGATTCTTTTTTGGATTTTATCAAGAATCTCTAAATATATAGCAAAAAGCACCAGACCAGATATGGCAGCAATATTCAAAGCAAGGATGAATGGTAGACTTATAAATATGTAAGATAGATTCTTCTTTGGATTTTATCAAGAATCTCTAAATATATAGCAAAAGCACCAGACCAGATATGGCAGCAATATTCAAAGCAAGGATGAATGGTAGTCTTATAAATATGTAAGATAGATTCTTCTTTGGATTTTATCAAGAATCTCTAAATATATAGCAAAAGCACCAGACCAGATGTGGCAGCAATATTCAAAGCAAGGATGAATGGTAGACTTATAAATATGTAAGATAGATTCTTCTTTGGATTTTATCAAGAATCTCTAAATATATAGCAAAAGCACAGACCAGATGTGGCAGCAATATTCAAAGCAAGGATGAATGGTAGACTTATAAATATGTAAGATAGATTCTTCTTTGATTTTATCAAGAATCTCTAAATATATAGCAAAAGCACCAGACCAGATGTGGCAGCAATATTCAAAGCAAGGATGAATGGTAGACTTATAAATATGTAAGATAGTTTCTTCTTTTGATTTTATCAAGAATCTCTAAATATATAGCAAAAGCACCAGACCAGATATGGCAGCAATATTCAAAGCAAGGATGAATGGTAGACTTATAAATATATAAGATAGATTCTTCTTTGGATTTTATCAAGAATCTCTAAATATATAGCAAAAGCACCAGACCAGATGTGGCAGCAATATTCAAAGCAAGGATGAATGGTAGACTTATAAATATATAAGATAGATTCTTTTTTGGATTTTATCAAGAATCTCTAAATATATAGCAAAAGCACCAGACCAGATATGGCAGCAATATTCAAAGCAAGGATGAATGGTAGACTTATAAATATGTAAGATAGATTCTTCTTTGGATTTTATCAAGAATCTCTAAATATATAGCAAAAGCACCAGACCAGATATGGCAGCAATATTCAAAGCAAGGATGAATGATAGATTTGTAAATGTACAAGATGGACTCTGACAAGAAAAACCTTCAGGCATGACAAATATATATATATATATATATATTTTTCTAAATTTAAAATTTACAGCATCACTTGTGCATGTGTAGTTGTATCAACAAGCCTCGTCCGATGAAGTCCTAAGGGATGATACACGTCACATGAAACTTTTTCCACTTTGTCATACATCTCTCCTCCAAAACTGTTCTTGATATATGAAATTTATATATCGTTATCTCAAATATATATATATATATATATATTATCAAGAGGTGATGATACAAAGAATTAATTAGTAATGTTAATGTAATTACTGGTGAAATCTCTTTACTAACAAACTTAATAAGGCATTAACTTACTAACAGTTCACAGTTCACTGAATAATGCAATCCTTTTGTATAAAATTGTGGTTAGATGGATTTAGTGTTGTCGGGTGAGTACTTTCGAAAATTTTCACATTTTCATCCTCAGGGCGTAATTTTTCCATTTACAGGTAAACTCCAAGATGAAATAAATGTATTGTAAACTGAAAGATATTTTTTTAAGAATGTGTTATTTATTGATGTTTATGTAATTTTGGAACGTGTAATGTCACAATGTTAGTTTAAATAATTCAAGTGAAAATTTTTTGCTTTGCATTTAGCAATGTGGTAAAGCCACAATTTTTTTTGTTGTATGTGTTTTCCAATTAAAGTTACACGGACTAAAATATATAGTCCCTTTAATAGAGTAATATGTCTTAGTAGTTCTTTTCCAAATTGATTTAGATTGTGAAGTATATATATTATAAAGAGGTAATAATACAAATAATTAATTAGTAATGTTACTAATTAATGGCTAACAGACTTAATAAGGCATTATGCTTTATATATATATATATATATATATATATATATATATATACACGTATGTGTGAACGTTTTTTATATATATATATATATATATATATATATATATATATGTATGTGTGAACGTTTTTTATGTATGTATGTGTGAACGTTTTTTATGTATGTATGTGTGAACGTTTTTTATGTATGTATGTATGAACGTTTTTTATCTGTATGTATGTGTGAACGTTTTTTATCTGTATGTCTGTGTGAACGTTTTTATCTGGATGTCTGTGTGAACTTTTTTATCTGTATGTGTGAACTTTTTTATCTGTATGTGTGTGTGAACGTTTTTTTATCTGTATGTGTGTGTGAACGTTTTATTATATATATATATATATATATATATATATATATATATATATATATGTGTATGTGTGTGTGAATGTTTTGTATACAAAATGGAGGTTGGAAAAGAAATGGTAATCTTTATATAACATCAGCAAAATGCAACACGCGCCAGTGGCATGAAGTAGGTAAACCACTGCTAGTGGTGAACTACTTAGACAGAATATTACTCTCCACTTACAATAGTGTCCAATGTATTTATGAGGATTGAAACATACACATTAGTATTCATAGGTGCAGTATATAACACAAATATTTCCATTCCTGAAAGAATTACTCTTTTCCCAAGTTATATGACTATAAAAACGTTAAAGACTTAAAAGAAAACTGTTAAATTCATAACCTCCTTTTACTTAAAATACATAATAAATATTCCCAAAGTAAAATAACATAAATATTAATTACCTTATAAAAAAAGGTTATGTCACTTTGCATCTTCCATAATTTACTTTGACTTTTCTGTTAACCTGATGTATATTCATCTCTTAAATTGAAAAATTTTGAAAAACATTTTTACTTTTCTTTCTATTATAAATATTTGTTGTAAAATGCTTACATTTGCCTTGATAAAGTTCCTAAGAGGACAAAATGTGTCAAGTAAGTTTTCTTTCTTGTCTTTATATATATATATATATATATATATATATATATATATATATATATATATATATATATATATATAAAGAAATATAGTCATAAGATGTGCTATATTTATGGGATAAAGTGCTCAATATCAGGGATAGAGCGTGTGTAAATATAAAAGTGAACATAAAAGTCAACATAGAGGCGACAGTCTGTTTCATGCTAGATGCAATCGTCAGGCTGTCGTTGACTTCTATGTTCACTTTTATATATATATATATATATATATATATATATATATATATATATATATATATATATATTAATCAATATCACCCCATGCAAGGAAGTAAAGCCACTAAGACACAAAGGGTTACTTGATGTGGAAGAATTAGGAAAAGAAAAATTAATGAGCGGGAAGAGGAAAGAGTAATCAGGAGGACAGTAGATAGCAATTGACATTGCATTTAAATTGTTGCAGATTAGAGTTGGTTGGAAGGCATGGATCCGGAAGGGAGTTCCACAAGTGAGAAGTGTGAGAAAAGAAACTGTTAGCATAGAACTTATAGCTACATCTAGCCAGCTCAACTGTAAATTGATGAGATCTTGACTCCAGTTTAATACTGCGCTTAAATTCAGAAACTCTCGGTAACATAGCAAAGAGCTCATCCAAACAATTACTACGAATGTAATTATAAAAAAGACACAGGGAGGCAACCTTACAGTGATGGGAAAGGAACTGAAGCTGAGGTGCCAGATCAAGAACAATAATATTGCTGATTCTTCTTTGGATCTTATTAAGGAGCTCAAGATAAATAGCAGGGGCACCATCCCATATGTGGCAGTAATATACTAAGCATAGGTGAATAGTAGACTTGTGTGTCTTGGCTATAGGATCAGGAATATTGATGGTTATTTAACACATGTTAAGCTATCACTACCCTGAATGTATTAACACACCTATGTGTATTATCACAATTTCCTTATTGACTGTTGGCTTTTATGAGAGATGAATTAAATATTTTGCTATTCTTTCTTGTAGTTTGTTTTTATTGCAATTATTAAATTTTTGTACATTTGATATGATAATTCTTAAAAAAATTCTTTTTCTATAACAAATTTTACAATTTATATTTTTGTTGTCTTTTAGGCATTCCTGGAATTGTCTATGGAATTGATGTGGACACAGCTTACTTCATTGGTCATCATCCTCTACAGATGTCGATGCAGGGTGCCAGCTTAAACACCAGTACGTTTTGTTGATTTATATTTGGAACCTTTTAAAAATCTTCCAAATATTTTGAAAATATTTTCACTTGTTTATCCATTCATGCCCCTCTCTGTTTATGTATCAGAATAAACATTTAATTTCCGTTAAGCACCCTGAAGACCATTTTATAGCCAGCAGGTTTATTAAGCCCTTTTCAAACAGATAAGCCAAACATTTACAATCATACTTATTATAAAACCCAGGTTGTGTGTGTGTGTGTCTGTACGTTTATATATTGGATCGGATTTCCTACATTTTTCAACGGATTTCAACAAAACTTCACAGGACTACTTAAAATTACCTTGCGGTGGTTCTGACAGTGCCAAAAATTGGAAAAACACAATTGTTTTTGCACGAAATCAATTTGAAAACACGATTAAGAGGCATCACGAGAATGAAAGGGGGACAACTCATATTGAGTTATACTTATAAAAACTCAGGTTGTTTGTGTGTGTGTGTTTGTTTATATATGAGATTGGATTTCCTACATTTTTCTACCGATTTCAACAAAACTTCACTTTTTTTTGGTAGGTAGTGTTTCTTATTGTCTTGCACACTTTTTTTTCTTTATTTTTACATTCAGAATGCTTTAAAAATTCCATTTACAAGACAATTGTTTATAATAAAATTCTATTCAATCGATAGACTCATAACGATTGAAAACAATGTTTGGGTTTGACCAATTCGTAAAACAAAAAAAAAAACTAATTAAGATATGCATGTCCATCAACCTTAAACAATAATCTTTGTCAATTTTATTTTTCAGTTTTTATGATGGTTGATACTTGATCTATCTCTTACTGTTACATCCCTGGGCAATGCCGGGCTCTACTGCTAGTTTACAATAAAATGAACTGATTGTAGAGGGGTATATGCCTCCTTACAATCAATCAATAAAATATGTCAAACCTTTTACATACCTAGGAAGCAAAATAAATTCTTCTACTGAGTAGGATGTGAAAATTTGCATAGCTAAAACCTGGCATGCCTTGAATAAAATGGATGCAATCTAAAGGCCTGATCTACCAGACAACCTCAAACGGAGATTCTTTTGAGCTAGTGTAGAGGTGGTGTTAATATATGGTGATACTGCTTGGACATTAAGTAAAACCCTAAAGTCTAAGTTTAATGGAAGCTATACTTGGATGCTGGGAACTATACTTAACATCTCTTGAAGACAATATCCAACTAAATCACAGTTCTATGGACCCATCCCTGATATTTCTACAATCTGAAACCCTAGAGTCTAAGCTTGATGGAACTTACATTTGGGTGCTGGGAACTATACTTAACATCTCTTGAAGACAATATCCAACTAAATCACAGCTCTATGGACGCATTTCTGATATTTCTACAATCTTAGACAATGTAGAATGTGCCTTGCAGGACACTGCTGGCGGGCAAAGCAAGAACTTGCAAGTGATTTACTGACGGGCTGGTCACTGCAAAACCACCTACATTAAGTATGGAATATTTAAATTTCAGCATTAAATAATCCATAGAGGTGTTGATATACCACTAAACAATATCAGCCAACCTACTTTTCTATGTCTGCTTGTTAATGAATTTCCATTTTATTTGCCTTGCAGAAAGAAAAAGTAAGAGCAGCAATGAAAATGGAGGATTTTCGTCATCAAAAGTGAGCTGTTTTTCTTTTTTTTTCTTTGTTTCTTCTATTTTTACTTTCCTTCCTTCTTTCTTTCTTTCTTCTATTTCTCCTTTTTTCTTTCTTTCTTTCTTCTATTTCTCCTTTTTTCTTTCTTTCTTCTATTTCTCCTTTTTTCTTTCTTTCTTCTATTTCGCCTTTTTTCTTTCTTTCTTCTATTTCGCCTTTTTTTTTTCTTTCTTCTATTTTTTCCTTTTTTCTTTCTTTTTTCTTTTTTCTTTTTTTTTTTTTTTTCTTTCTTCTATTTCGCCTTTTTTTTTTCTTTCTTCTATTTCTCCTTTTTTTTTTCTTTCTTCTATTTCTCCTTTTTTTTTTCTTTCTTCTATTTCTCCTTTTTTTTTTCTTTCTTTTATTTCTCCTTTTTTTTTTCTTTCTTTTATTTCTCCTTCTTTCTTTCTTTCTTTTATTTCTCCTTCTTTCTTTCTTTCTTTTATTTCTCCTTCTTTCTTTCTTTCTTCTATTTCTCCTTTTTTCTTTCTTTCTTTCTTTCTTTCTTTCTTTTTTTTTTCTTTCTCCTTTTTTCTTTCTTTCTTTTATTTCTCCTTTTTTCTTTCTTTCTTTTATTTCTCCTTTTTTCTTTCTTTCTTTTATTTCTCCTTTTTTCTTTCTTTCTTTTATTTCGCCTTTTTTCTTTCTTTCTTTTATTTCTCCTTTTTTCTTTCTTTCTTTTATTTCTCCTTTTTTCTTTCTTTCTTTTATTTCTCCTTTTTTCTTTCTTTCTTTTATTTCTCCTTTTTTCTTTCTTTCTTCTATTTCTTGTTTATCTCA